GGCGCGTTTCGAATGGCCATGCCATTTTCGTCAAGACCGAATCCTTTAATATGCGTATGCGCGGAGATTCTCTGAGTCTTGGCTCTTTACTTGCTCTTTACTTCCTCAATCTTCATCGTTACAACTTTAGTTAGAGCCTTTGAATGAGCAGTTATAGTCCAACAGTTATTCTTGATGTCGTCAATTTTTCGAACTTATCAGCACTTATTTGTCACGTTATACTCGGCATCCAGGTTGCATTGTACTAAAATTTATGTTACTTTTCTTACATTCCATTTTTTAAAGTGTAGTGTACTGGACGCGATGTGTGTAAACAACGATAAATAATTCAACTATTACTGTATTACCTGATGTTGGTTACTCCCTAGTTTGGTTTAAGATACGTCGTACCAACGTATCGACCGAGAAAAATGCCAACGTGACATGTCTGTCTTTTTTGCCGTATGGACAGTTTGACAATTTTAAACATACAAGGCGTATATTACTGACAGATTTCTGAAAATTCTGCAACCCTATATGCGACACCGGGAGCGCGTTCGGCGCCTCTCAGGGATCGTAGTGGTGTTTACAAACCACACAATTTGACGGTCGAGAAATCGTCACCGTTCTCTCTTTGAATTTAAGTATCAAGAGCGCACAAGTGAGGTTAGGTTCTTTAGTCATCATGATGAGCTTACGCGACCGTCAAATAAACGCCCTGAAGCAGATGTTGAACCTGAATCAACCCGAGCCGAGGCTCGAGGACGCGGTGCCGACGTGGAAGATCCTCATCTACGATCGCCTCGGCCAGGACATCATATCGCCGTTGATCTCGGTCAAGGAGCTGCGCGAGCACGGTGTCACGTTGCACATGCAGTTGCATTCGGATCGCGACTCCATTCCCGAGGTGCCGGCAATCTACTTCTGCGCGCCTACGGACGAGAATCTCGGGAGGATTGGTCAGGATCTACAGAACGGCCTGTATGATATTTATCATCTGAATTTTATATCACCGATCTCCCGGCAGAAGATGGAGGACCTGGCAGCCGCGGCGCTGCTTGGAGGTGTCGTTGCCAGCATCCACAAGGTGTTTGATCAGTACCTGAACTTTATCACCCTGGAAGATGATTTGTTCATCCTGCGCCATCAAAACAGCGATGTGGTATCTTATCATGCAATTAATCGTGGCGACGTCAAGGATACTGAAATGGAGTCTGTGATGGACATCATTGTGGACTGTCTCTTTTCTGTATTTGTTACTCTAGGTACTGTGCCTATCATAAGGTGTCCCAGGGGCAACGCTGCTGAAATGGTCGCGAAAATGATTGACAAGAAGTTGCGAGAGAATGTGTGGGATGCGAGAAACAACCTGTTCGAAGGGGAAGCAACCGGGCACTACAGTTTTCAAAGGCCTCTGCTCATTGTGCTGGATCGCAATGTGGACATGGCTACTCCATTGCATCACACATGGACGTATCAAGCGCTAGCACACGATGTTCTGGAGATGGCGTTGAACAGACTGGTTGTGGAGGAAAGCGTAGGACGATCTCCCACTGGTGGGACACGCTCCAAGACACGTGCCTATGAGCTGGACAACAGAGACCGCTTCTGGTGTCAGCACAAGGGTAGTCCCTTTCCTAGAGTGGCGGAAGCCATACAAGAGGAATTGGAGCAGTATCGCACCTTTGAGGAGGATGTAAAGAAGCTCAAGTCTTCGATGGGCATTGATAACGAGAGTGAAGCAGCGCTGTCTATGGTGTCAAATAACACAGCGCGTCTAACGAGTGCCGTGAATTCGTTGCCGCAACTGCTGGAGATGAAACGCTTAATAGATATGCACACGTCAGTCGCCACAGGTATTCTAAATGCAATCAAGTCCAGAAGATTGGATACCTTCTTTGAATTGGAGGAGAAAATCATGAGTAAGCAAACACTCGACAGGAGCGTCCTGGACACTATCAGCGATCCGGATTGCGGTACTCCCGAGGACAAGCTGCGTCTTGCTATTATTTATTACATCTGCACAAATATGTCCGACGCGGATTACAGTAAGCTCGAAACGGCCCTCACTACGGCCGGCTGCGATCTGAATCCTCTGGTGTACATTAAACGGCTACGCAGCTACACGAGGATAGCTGAGATCCAGAGCAGCTACGAGGGCGGCGGCACTAAAACTGTCAGTATGTTTTCCAAACTGATGAATCAAGGCTCGTCGTTCGTCATGGAGGGCGTGAAAAATTTGGTAGTGAAGAAGCACAATCTGCCTGTCACCAAAATAGTGGACGAACTAATGGAGTCTAAGCAATCCTCGCGAACCGAGGATTATCTTTATCTCGATCCGAAGCAACTCAAGCACACCGAGCAAATGCCGAAGAACAGGCCGACATTCCAGGACGTGATAGTTTTCGTGGTTGGCGGCGGCAATTACATAGAGTACCAGAACCTAGTGGATTATGTGAAACAACGAAGCGGTGCCGGGGTAAATAAACGTGTGATCTACGGCTCCACAACCTTTATCAACGCCAAACAATTGCTCAAGCAACTTTCTCTGCTCGGCCAGGAAGTCCATTAGTAAACGTTACATATACATTCGTCATTCTCGACTATATTTTTCTCATCCTCCCCTCTTTCTTTCTCTTACCTGTGCATTAGTTACACTTCTTTAATACGGTAGCTTTTGTATAAAGTGTCCGATACAAATAAAGTCCGGATTATTGTTTTCAATCAATAAACGCTTCTTACGTATATACGTATATACTTTTCCCTTGACGTCACACACCTGCCATGTATTTCTTATCTTATATTCTTGCGTGAATATGCGCACGACTGTATTCAATTGTTTGATCGATTAATCGTATGCGGCAGGTGTAAATACATTATGCTCTTTCAATGACATCCTTTTTAAAAGTATATACACTTTAATTGGCTTGTTCACGGAAAATTGCAATTAGAAAATAAAATATTTTGTCTAACAAATGTCTATGGCGCAAAATGAGTCGAAAGGTCTTGTGCATAGAGCTGTCATTACGACGGATCCGCAGAAAGCAGTTTCGGAGTTTTTTATATCCAAGCAAGAGGAACGTCAGTATATCGAGTAATGTATATTATTATAATTATAATAAATGTTATTGCAATTGTTGTAAAAAAGGTTATATTATTTTTAATTATCTTAGATGTATAATTAAATTTAATGTTATATTTAATATATTGAAAGATAATAAGTAACACACAAAGAGACTTGTAATATACATAAGGAATGTAAAAATAAATGTGTAAAATAAACGAGCCATCATAACATATAACACTCGATTAAAGTATTAAGCGAACAGTATAGTAGAATTTTGAATTTTAATGTTTTATTAGTGACCAAAAAATTAATATTTTTAATAAACGTTAACATAATTTCATAAATATTGTTATATATATTTGATTATTAAATTTCATAAATTTATTGATATTACAATTAGAACTTACGCTCTCTCGCTCTTTCTATCTCTCATGCCATTATCTAATCATAGAAAATATCCGGAATGGGACAAACCGAGAATTTGCCCGGCGACCGAAGTGATTCAAGTTCGTCGAGAACTAACTCGAGTCGAAGAAATATTAAAAGAGAAACAAGCGCAACGAAAGGTAAACCGTAAGCACATGGACGAACAATGGGAGGAGGCGAGAAAACAGGAACTGCTGTTGCGACAATCTTTTGTGAAGTTTAATACACTCGTAAGGGAAAACGTCGAGAAGCGCGAGCGAGCAGAGCAAAAGATCAAAGAGGAACGTGAACATCAAGAGAAATACGAACTGGAAGTACGAACTCTCGATAAATAAAAATAAATATTTTATAGGATATCTCTAAATCTCTGGACCGAAACTCGTCGACCTTAATTTTAATCGATTAATTTAAAAAAGAATAAAAGGAATTGTATATTGATTATAACTGATATCTTTTTTATTAGATTGAGGAATTAGAGCAGAAATTACGTCATATGAACGAAGTGCGCGATAATATGCAACGATATGTAAAAGAATATAAGAAATATCAAAATTATTTAGACAGAGTTGTGAACGAGACGGGCGAATTTCAATCGATTAGTGACATTTTTAATCGTTACGAAACTTTACTCGAGGCCAGACAAGCATTGTCTGATCATCAGGATAGAAATCTCCAGCTGTTAGAAGACAAAGGAACAGAAATAGTATGCACACGACTTATTATCTATCATCTGGATTTACACAATCATCTTGGCAATTTTACATTTTTGAATTATTAATTCAATTACCTTTGTCAAAAATTCTGCAATGTTTAACACACGCTTTAATTAAGTGCACGGCCGCATTTACTATAAGACGCATTAGGCGCAAGCTGGGGCTTCATTTTAAAATCTTACTCACAAATAACAATGTAAAAAACAGCCTAGTTATAGTTGCAAAATAAAATACTTTTAAATATTAAGTTCATAATATAAAAACTAGAGATCACTGAAAAATTTGTAAGCGGTAATTGTTTATTAAATTTCGCCTTTTTGCATCATGTAATGCATGTCGAATTTTATTTTCATTAAAAAAAATGCGTATGAATTTAATTAACTGAAATAGACTTATACTTGTTTTTTGAGGCCTCATAATGATGTTGCGCTTAAAGCCTCCAAAAGTATAAATGCGGCCCTGATTAAGTGTTAGTTTTTGTTATGCAAATGGTTGAAAGCGTTCTTGTACCTAAACTTTTAATTGAAATACTTTTTTGTCATACACAAGTGCTTGTTTTATTTATTACTTCTGTATGACTTATTGAGGGAGTCGAATCAAATTACGACAAGCTTATTATCTCTTATTGTTTTTGCATTTTCTGGTTTCTGAAATATCGTTTTCAATTGCGTTTGAATAAAAAGTAGATTAAATAGCCGATAAAATTAACTTTTTTTTCGCGCAGCATTACTTGGCAGAAGTTAAAACGCAAACATTGATGGGATTGAATAATAGATTAGCGCAATTGCAAACGAGATATGATCGGGCAAAGGCGCAGGCACTGAAATGGGAAACAATTATCTCGAAAATAAAGGAGACCACCGCCGCGAAGAACTTAGAGCTGACGCAAGTGAAAGCGTGTTGCTGGAACATTTATCAACAGATTTGTGAAAGGAAAGAGATTCCCGTCAAGGTGAGTGGTGAAGACGTCGAACAACAGCTGATTGAAATTAAGCGAACCATTGTCGAATTGAAGCGAATTATCAAAGTCGCCAGAAAGAGAGCTCGGGAAGAGAAAGAGTTGTTACAGCGCAAATAAAAAGATTGTCGCAATTTACTGCTATTCTGCGATGTGAATTTTGCATATAATGATAAAGATAATGAAAGCAAATAAATAAAACTTCTTTGTAATAAAAAATTATAAATTGTATCACTTTCGTTAAAAAATACAATTAAATTCTCTCAAAATACATAATAAATTCAAATGAAATAAGTTTCTTTATCATTTATCTATGCTATTACTGTTTATTGTTTTTCTCTCTAGCTACTGAGTTTGATCTGATCATTGGTTTGTAAGATAAATCGTAGATCTCATGAACATCATTGTGGCATTAAAGAGAGGTCAGACCGCAAATCCGCGAAGGAAACGCACTGTCGTTAATTCCCTTCATTGATAACGTTTTTGTATAATCTTCCTAGCCGCCGGTAAGTGACAGATGGATACGTTATGAAGCAGCTCCGAGTAATCGTCCTGGAGTCTTTGCTGCAACTTTTGCACGGCGTCGATATGTGTCAACGGTACGTCCAGGCCCTCTTTAACGATTTGCATCTGCTCTTGTTCCACGCAGCTGCACCCGAGCGAGATGTTAAAGTAATCGGAAGCTGGCATTGCTCGTATTCTCGACGTGCATTTAGCGCCAAATGTGTTTGTTTAATAAATCTATCTATATTTTAGTTACGATTCTGTTCACTGTTATCATATCATCTAGAAATGTCTGTTTTTACTTATCATCTTGAAAGGATTGAATTATTTTAAGTATAAAACGAGAACTAGATTGCCACGTTCAGTGCAAATGCGGATCTCGAGAATACTCATCAATAGTTCGAAAAGATTCGGGTCAAGAATGAAGGATTGTAGGAAAAGGAGCAATGGAACTCACAGGGCGCAAGGTTGGGTGGGCGCGATGCGCGTAAGAGCGGGTACTTTCAGCCTGGGCTTCTTCTCCTCGTCCACCCGCAATTGTGGAGCTTTGCTAGCCTTGTTCACCCAGTAAACCTTGTGGAACATCTCGGTGATTTGTTTCTCGATAATGCCCAAATAGAGCATGACGTTGCTCATGGTCACTTGAGTGTTGTCGCCCAACAATTCTAAAATCGGCGAATTGTCGCACCGTGTCGCCTTGAAGAGACTATCGATCCCCTGCAATAGTTTGTCCATCACGTCGTGGCACTGAAATAAAGTATAAATTTAAAAAATGTTTAAAAAATGCCCGCTGTGACTAATCATCGTTGTAACATTTGTGGATTCGGCGCGTTAAAAAGTTAAGACCAAGTTTAATGCCAAAAATAGCGAGATAATTTGTAAAAAGAGTAGTTTTTTATTTTGGTGGAGTAATAAAAATAAGAATTTCTATAGCACTAATATTATTCATATTAATTATTATCTATAAGTTATATTAAAGTATGAAATTAATATACTTTTCATAAAAACTGATTATAAGAAAATTTTCAAAATCAAAACATAAAAAGTGTGAATTAATCTATAAAAAGAAACTTTTACGTAACAAATTGTTTAGACGTCATCATTTTTTAATTAAATAAGCAACTAAACTCGATTAAGAAATATTATTTTCTTGTGTGATATATTTATCAAAGTAAGGTTTTATTCTATAAGCTAAACAATTGGCTTCCCATTCTGCAAAGGTTAAAGGTCTGTTACCTTGTTTAAGTAATATATCTAAGGTTTCTTTTAAGTACAAAAAACTTCACGTGTGAAGTATCGAATGACTCGTACCTGTGCGAGATCTTCTTCAGCAGTGTCTGCTACCGCGGTTTGTTCTTCCAATTGTTTGGTGATTTTCTCCAAGGTCTGGGCCTGCTGCTCGTCGCGATGCACGTTCAAAGCACGTGCTTTATCAATAGCAGCCGTCAACTGCTCCATCCTCGCCTGAAGACTCTCTAGTTCGTCGTTCAGCTCGTTCACGTAATTGAAGAGCGCGAAATTCTCCTCCTCTTGCTTGATAAAGTGGGCGGTGAGCTTGTCGATTTCTTGCTCGCCTGCTCAAAGACATTTATTTTACGATCGAATTAATTGAAGTCGGCATTTAACACCAATAGTAAAATATGAAAATTTAATAATATTAAATTTGTTATTCATATATTATGAATACAAAACAAAACAAGTAAAAGAATCTGTAGAAAACATCTAAAGATACCTCCACAAGAAGAATATATTTTTGAAAACCAGAATATCTAGTTATTTAAAAAAAAAAAGTTTTTATTATACGATACCAGAGAATTTCTTGATTGTCTGCAAGATCTGCGTTAAGGCTGCTATTTTGTTCTGCTTCTCTTCTCGCTTAGTTTGCCTTTCGGCCTCTTTCTTTGCATTTAGATCAGTCATTTCGCGGAACTGTCCTTTCACACCGAGGAACTCTTGCAGTTTCATCTCGTTATCCAACGTTCTCCTTAGCTCGCACATCTCTGACGTGTGGTTCTTCAAGTCCCTTATTCCTCTGCAAATAAAAGCACATTCGTCGGCTGATCAGAATTCGCCTTTTATCGACACAAAGTTATACAAGTTCACACCGTGACTGAATAAATCAAGAAGCCGTTAAGGAATTAAACGCAATCGGCGGAACTTGCCACGCGCCATTGGTTCCGTTTAACGGAATTCCGGAATTCCGGTTTGCTCTCGGAATTCCGAGTTTCTAATTCAATGCCGATGACTGCGATGTCATTCATTCTACAGACCGAACGCAAATTGATTTTGCGCGTGTTAGCGAGACAATCATTTCAATTACGAGGACAACGATCCGACGACGAGTGTTTTCACTTTCGCGATTCCGTTTTGCGATTGTCGCCGATTGCTGGATGTCGCATAAATTTTGGATACCTCACGCATGAATTCCGGCATGCGATGCCGGAATCCGCGATCGTATAAATCGCACAATTTTACGATTGCTATCTTCAATCCGGAAAATCTACCTTTCACGAAGCGCCTGGATTTTGTTGAGCTCTTCGTCGCGCTGATTAAACGTGATCGTCGCCTGCTCGATGAGGTCGTTGATGACCTGCTTGCCGGTGTTCAGCTGACCAATCAGCTTGTTCCACAGCAGTGTGAACTGCGACCGTTCCTTCAGCAGAGTTTCAATCTCGGTGCGCAGCTTGGTATTCTCCGCTATCACCAGGTTGAACCTCTTCGTGGCTACCTCCACTCGGTTCTCCAACATCTGTATCGTCTTGCTGTGCCGCACCGCTATCTCCCGCGACTGCGTGTCCGTGCACACTTTCATCTTCAGACTCGTAACTTCCTTCGAAAGCTGCAACAGGATTTTTTATGTTCTTCTTACGCTGTAATATGAGTCATAAATGAAAGTGATTTTTAATCCCCGTGGCAGTATATTTAATTTTTTTATAATCTATTACTATTTATGATTGTAATAATCGTTTAGTAACAATTTTCATTGTGCAATTAATTCTCTACTGCATTTCTCCCGGAGCTATAAATATTTGTAGGCTTGAATACCAGCAACCTTGCCGATCTGCTCGTCGAGCTCGGCTATCTGTTGCTTCTCGTGTTCTATTAATTCGATGTACTTGGCGCGCTTCGCTAGTAGACACCTCAGCTTTTTATCCATCTCGTCGTCTTTGCGCGTGAATGCTTTCGATCTCGCGGTTTTGATCGCCAGTACGAGCTCGGCCTTCTCGTATTCCAGACGATCGATCATGTTTTGCTGATTGTGTAGCTGTAATCTCGCGTCCTCCGCACATGCCGCCCGATCATTCTCCATGATCCTGTACTGCCTCTTCAGCCTCGAGAGCTCGGCCTCTGCCATGGTCTCCATCTCCAGCTCGTCCTGAGCCATTGTGCCTGGTCTACCCATCATTTTGAAGTCTGATCTTTGGCGATTCTGTTCGTTGATGATGCTAAAATGTTCAAATAATTATCATTGAACAATTTATATGAATTTTGCGTACTGTTCAAATTGTTCAGAAGGTTATCTTATGTACCTTATTTTTTTACGACAGATTCATAAGAGGTAGTTTTAAGGAGGAGCTGTCAGTTTTGCGGAAGACGTCGGCGTCTTCGTGATCGGTGTCGTCGATCACGGAGATCCATGCAGGGGCGAGCAACACTCCAGTTACAATCCTCGATGACATTAAACGCCGACATCTGAGAGAGACATCTGCCACCCCGCGTAACTGAGGCAGATGTACGGCGTGGAATAGTTGCTTCTGTTGATATTTCCGGTTGCCAAGCAATGGGCTCCAACGACGTAACGGTTGCAGAACGCTTTTAGGTTCCTGCGAAAATTAATTTCCACCAGAATGTTTCCTAAACGATTGAAACTTTTATATCATTCAATGGACATATATTTACTTGTAATATGTCACATGTAGAAAGTTTTTTTTATACAAAATATCTCAAATACCATCTTTCGGCAAATTCAAATTCGGAATTAAAATAGAAAACTACAAGTAAGTAGTAATTTCATATATTCGATTCCTTGGATGGTTTATCGTCTCTTTCTTGGTTATTTATTACATTGCTATGTAAATTAGTTTGAAGCTAGATAATGAGAATTTTTATGATTTGATCTTATTTTGTAAAATTTTGAACATCTGTCGCAATACGATTGGAAATACGCTTACAAATTGCTTTACCTAACCTATCGAACGCTCAAGTAAATAACCGTGCCTTTCGCATCATTTGTACATCAAAACACAAATACAGCTGGCATTTTCCCGCGATGATTAAAAAATTGAGCACTATTAAAAATAAGTAATCCACAAATGTGGATTATCGCATTCTAAGTCTTAAGTATTATCTATGCTTTTATATTGTTTCTGTCTCAAGTTATAAGCATTTTTAACTCATTCATAAGTGAAAAAAAACAATTAGCATATCTATCATCGATCCGTAGATTCGCTCTTCTCGTTGTTGAAAGCCTCTCAGGCGTGGAGCAAGCGTCGTGCCGAACGTGTTAAGTGAGACCCGCAGATATTCGGTGGGATCCAGTCAGGTGGTGGTTCGACCAGGTGGGTCAAGTGGTGGGGGTATAGCTTGAGGATGCAGACGGGGGAGACGTTAGTTCACCTCCGGAGGGGAAGGTCGTCAGGTCGATTGGTTCTGTCCACAGCGCGAGTAACGAACGCGCGGAACCTTTCAGGTTCCGACCAACGTTGGCCGTGCAGTGTCTCTTGTACGTAACTCCATTACTATTACAATAGTGTGTACATTAGCCGCGCAAAATTCCGCCATCGGAATCAGTCGCGAGTCGGTGCTGCGTTGTTCGGAGTTCAACAGCAATTTCGATAGTCGCTCGAGTGGTCGCTTCGATCGATACAGCAACGGCAATTTTTGCGAGTGTGCGGCATGAATGAAGATATAATTGTGATAAGATCGCAGTGATAATGCGATAAGTGCTGCAATGGTCATTGCAGTTCCAGTTTAACTAGAATTGAATCAGAAGATTGGATTAATCGGAGTCGTTGCACAATATTTTATCTTGCAAAAATAGTAAGTATTCGTATCTGTAGAAAAATCACATTCGTATCAGTAGAACAATCTACGCTTTTAATTTAATTTTATTCGACATAATATGATACGCTATCTCTCTGGTTCAAAAAATGAAAGTTCATTTAATTCGACGTTGTAGCACAGAATGAAGATTTAAGTTGAAATAACCTAACCAACTCGTTTCTTACATTTTACATTTACAATCTTACATTTTACATTTCTTTTCGAATTGAATTTTTTGAAATAAAGGCAAAATGCAGCATTATTATTGCAAATTCGCTCGTGTTTATTCGAACTGACACAAAGAGCGAGCAGGCGGGTGCTTTGTGCCGAACGAATTACTTTCAACTGTACGGTAACGTAGTGGGAGAAGGCGCGCTGGTAGCTCTCGTGGAGTATGCTGTACGATTCCGTAATATTTATTTTTCACTCACGGCTAGAGCATGACTCACTACCTGGCCGGCTGCGCCACGGCAAACAGGTAGATCCTCGCGAGTTGGTGTACGAAACTTTTGCGATCGCTCTTCCACATCCTTGTGATTGCGCGCGCGCGCGCGCGCGTTTTACAGTGAATTTGCAAGAGGTGGAATGTGTAGGCGTGCGTCTGTGTGAGTAGTGTTTATTTTTTTCAATTTTAGGGTAGCAGTTTTTATCGCGTCATAAATATTTATCCCATCAAGTAACCAAACAAGTTCACGCGGTTTTCAAATTTAATGTAAAAAATACGATAATGCTATGCAGATAGAGCTGTAAAATATTTATCAAAAAGCAAACGGAGCGCAAATTTGATCGAATGTAGAATTTATTGGACGAAATATTCATCGATCTAAACAAATTCTAAAGACATTTTTTTGTAAAATGAGTCAGACAAAGAAAGATGCACATCTGTTCGCTAATTGAAAGCCATTGAAGGGTGATCACGAGGAAAGGATATCATTACGTCAGATCGGGAACGTGCTCGCGTTATTTTGTAGTCGTCGATCGAATTAGCGATCAGCGCATGGGCGGTCAGGATTTATCCTCTTTATTGGATTTATCCGCGATGGTAAGGGTTGAGGGTACGTAGAGAACCGAGCACTAAGCTGACGTCCAAATCGATAAGCATGAATTGTCGCACGTGCCGTCCGTGACCATCGTCGGGTCTCTCGGAATCGCTTTATTGTCATTCAAGGATAACGCGACGCAGTTCGCTTTGCGGATTTTATTGCCTCACGGAAGCAATCTCGCATTTACGCGAATCAATTTACAAACGTCGATTTTCACGCGCGTGATTAAATCCACCTGCGCTTAACCCCTCACCTTTCTTCGTCTGCGAATTAAAACTCGACATCACAGATTTCGCCTAGCTCGCAGCGAAACTCGTTTTGAAATCGAAACTGAATGCACTATACGTGACGTTGACGTATACGATTTACGATTTATTTCCACATAAAACGTGATCACCGATTATTCGTAAAATAAACGCAAAACTATTATCGATGATTTGTTATTCAGATGTGTGAAGATAACATATTGCATGTTTAGCGAGTCGTTCGTAGGAATATCAAAGTTCCGCGCCTGAAATATTAATACCTGAAGTGTGTCAAAGTTGAGAATCGATAATGTAGACAGATATGCGAAAATCCCTACTTTTAAAAAAGGCATGTAAAGTCGATTACTCGCATATATCGAAATTTATTGTTGTCGCTTTTCAGCGACGCTGATTGGTTATCTCGATTAACGAAAAACAACGATGACGACTAAAAAAATTCCTTAATTTTTCTTGCAGCAGCAGCTAGACGCTCATTGCGAACAAATGAGAGACACATCGAGAAGATCAGTAACTTGGTCTCAATATAGAAGGCACATACTTTGTTATTCTGAAGCGAACATTGCAATCTAAGAATCATTGATCTCTTTCACGATTCTTTCTATGGCAAAGTTAAAGTGAACGCGGACGGTATCCATGCGGATAAATGGAGGGCTGCGAAGTATCTTTGCGTCGTAATTCATGCGGTTCATTCCCGACTCGACAGTGCGGCGCGCAAGAATCATCGATCTTCGGTGATCCTCTCCGCGGGATTAAATCCACGTGAACATAGCCGGATGTTTGTGGCGAATCAGTGAATAGAGCGCCGTTGTGTCGCAATTCAGCGAACTTTCCATTTTATTGGGCTTGCTTCAAAGAGGAACGATCGACGAACGGCGAGACAGTTTGCAAAAACCGCGTTCGTAATAACCGACACTTTACTCAACTCGGAAATGTGTGACGGCGAATTGCAGTGCGCGAGGCAGCGTGAGGCGTAAGAAAGGCGAGGTGATAGCGCTGGTGGATCGATAACGCGGCAAACTTCCGCGATCGATATCCTCGAGGAGAAGTGCATCGGTGCAACGGTACGTTGCACTCGCGTCGAACGAGTGAGCGCACTATGAGAGCGTCGTCGCCGCTGGCATCGTCCTCGTTGTTGTCATCGGTAAATGATGTCGCTAATAATGATGGAGCAATCAACCTCTATAAACACGTGTGTTTACGAATGTATCGAGTGCAATGTCAGAGCAGCGGATCATTTCCGGTAGCGGTCGAGCGTTTCTCGAGACAAGAAATCCGCAAAAAAGTCGACGATCTGCGATTTGCATGATTCCGTAGGCTGATAGGTGAGTGCGTTATGCGTTATTCATGTAACTTTGATCGCGTGCTTCTTGCTATTTTGCAAGACTTCAAGGCCCGGCGGCTTTTGGGTCGCGCGGTCCTCGGGCAAAATAGGTTGTAAAGTTTTTCTGCCGATGTTTCTCAAGGTTTTTTTTTTCGTTGATAATAGAATCGATTCTGAGGAAAGGGAAATGATAAAAACAAATGCATATAATGTATTTATCTCATTATAATTATTAAGTAATCATTACATTTATTTAAGGTGAATAATTTCCAATAAATAAATTAAGGTTAGAAAAAAAATTAAAACGCATAGGTGCTATTTTATATAAATATTTGCTTACTGATTTATATTTCTTCATTTGATTAAAGAATATGGCAATTCAAATTTGTTTTTCTACTAATCAATAAACAAACACAACTGATAATTTATATAAATTTCTAAAATAGAATTCCTGAAATAAGAGGAAGATTGCAATTTCTGTAGGTGGGAAAATACTTATTAGTAATGTAGATAAAAGATTTATTTACGATCGGATAAAGCCCTTTTCAGTGATTTGCATGAGCATTCGATCGCCACGCAAAGATATTTTATTGTTTTGCATACAGCAGACACGATGTGTGTATTTTATCTTTATGCTTTCTTATCATTAGCGTGATAACCTGCGAATACGTGCTCGTTTGGAGAATTGTTTCTTCGTCGTATATAATTTTCCAGTTACATTTCAAATTTTATAAAGAGAAAACATACAAAATTTGCAACAACAGATTGGAAGCAGAAAATAATATTAAAAAATTCCAATATAATATAATATTTTATTTATATAATACATTTTTTATTATTAAAAAATATATATTTATTAAAAATGACAATAAGAAATATAAAGTTAAGCTCAATTCTCTCTCTCCAACTTCATCAGATTCAATTTATTTAACTTTACATGCGTGTATCTACCGCCGTCTTTTCGACACTTCGTATGCCAAACGCAATAAGAATAAAAATCTGGAATTAATTGATTTCAGCTAATCAATGGCGCCCGATAATTCGACGCTACCCACGCACGATCGTTTGACCGCGAGTGAGAGCCGATCGTGACGACATCACTAGCGTTATTATGCCGTGTCCGTGTCGAATGCGTCTGACGTGTGTTGGAGTGTTCACCTGACGCCAAGCTTCATATCGATCGAATATCGCGAGTTTGATCTGCGAATCGGTGAAGAAGTAACATTCGCCGTGTTGTCGCGAGAGGAACAACTGTACTCCGCGATGCTGCCGAAGAAAGATAGTCAAACGGAGCCATACGCTCTGGAGGACATGATATCGGATCTCCAGACGAGGCGTCACTCGCTGGATCACGAGGACGTTGTGCAGGACCCTGCCGAGCTGCTGAAGCAACGTGAGAGGGACCTCGTTCTTGCCGCTGAACTCGGCAAAGCTCTGCTCGAGAGGAATCAGGAGCTAACAAAGCAAGCCGAGACTTTAGCCGAAGAGTATTCTACTAAATTAGAGGTGAGTACAGATTTCATTTAACAGTTTACGCACTTTACGCATCAGCTCGTAACCGATTTACGAAAATAATAGTTCACGCTTAAAATTGATGCAGAGGTAAAACTATATCTATTTTTCAATTTCTCGAACACAAATAAATACGAAATAAAATTATTTGTTCGTATTTAAAATCCACACGTTTGCAAAAGCAGGACGCAAAAGAAAATAGATGGGAATAATTTAGCATTTTTGTTTGAGTAATGAAATATATGAGTAATTTATTATCCCCGCGCTCTGGCAATGAGATAACGTTTACGTAATTCTCTTTGCTCAACGTTTATATAATTAGACGAAAAATAATTAGACGCGGACTTTGTGATTTAATAAGGTAAATTTTACTTTCATCACTTGCAACATGCTTGCGATATTATTCTTTAAAAAAATGATTGTAGGAAATAGTCTTAATGAAAAACTTAGCCAAGCCTGCTTTGTTTCATATGCACACAATGTGATAGACACGCTATATCCACGATTACACGTATGCAGCAGCGCTGTAACTACGCGTTTGCAATTGGCGCTCCACTTTCACAAACGTTAATCCTCTTTTCTTCGATTTTATATTTTATTACATTGCTGCTGGTTTTATTACGAAATAAACGAAGGTGAAATGAGTCACTAACAAAATAGATAAACATCACCGGTTTGAGAGCGTCTGTGTCCGCAGTGATTAAGAGCGACGCGAGCCGTTTAGATGAGCGCGCTTATTCCAGCACCGTGTTTTATCTGATTCGATAAGTATACAAAGATAACATCTTGGGATAAGATATATTTTTCAATATTATTGATCATTTAAAAATATCGCCCATTTTATCTACGCAGAATTCTATCGCGAGAAACTTTTAATAATGAAAAATGTCGCATGTGTCATCATATTAAATGAAATACATTTTGCTATTAATCGATCATTGAAAGCATCAACCGCGTCATTAATAGCAATGAAACACCAGCTGTACCGCTGTCAGTTATGTGCTATCTGCGAACAACAGTGTTGACGCGTTAAATGAAGATCGAAACGAAAATTCTTGCACGTTTTTTTTTTTTTTTTAACACTAGTGTAAGCGCAAGTAGAAAAATACGATGGACAATTATTGTAGTCGTAAGTTCTAATGCCATTGGCCGGAAATTTTCACCTTCGTGTCTAACGGGCACAGTCGCTTTCCAACATTATGCCGGCTTGCTACGGAAAATTTGCTCCGGCGATGCATACGAACACGCAGCGCTCGCGATTACATAAGTCGATAACACGGAACCGGAAAGCTTGAAAATGTAATCTGCGCTTTCAGCTGTCATTTTCATTCGCCAAAGGAAAAAGCGCGTAAGATTCATAGGAAACGTAATATGAAAATTTAGCTGTAACGAAAAAGAAAGCTACGATGAAAAAAAAATCGTACATTATTCGCTTGTTAAAAAAAAATATTTTTAAATGCTAATATAATTTCTCAATGAATGAATTAATTTCTTAATTAATTTATAAATGTTTCAAAATTTTGTGTGTTACACGCATCAATATCTTGTGGTCTAGATCTTATTAAAAGTTAATTGCTCGAAAAAAAGGATCCTTTTTTTTATATAATACTTTTTTCTACTTTCTTCCGCGTACTAGTCTTCACTGAAATCTCAATTTCTCTCAATTTTATAATTTGGTCATATTTTATTTCGTATATAGTTTCCTTAATGATTTCGTTTCCTTTTCTCCTTTGCGCCTTTTCAAGAGACACGACAGCGTTCGTGAGCCCTCGAGACGGCCAAGCGAAACGGCTAGGATTACTCGCGTCCGCTTCGAATGCCAGGCTGTTCATTTAATACTAAGTATTGGTATTGTACGTTTTCCTGTCGCTGCAATTCTCTCCTTTGCAAAGAATTTGAAAGAAAGAAAAAAAATACAATGAAAGTCACTGATAGAAATGTACATTTTTCTCCGGGTTTCGCCGGAATTGGGCCACGATGTACGAGTCTGAATTTCAAATGTGCTTTTTTTCTTCACGACGATGCGATGCATCAAAATTGCGATTCGTAGGCACTTGTCTGCCAGGCAATAAACCGTATTTCGCTAATTTTCGACGAACAGGAGAGCACGCGATGTGCTTCGTTGAATCCCTGCGAGCTCGAAAGAAATCTCAAATCTGCGCATTTATTTCCATATTCGCGTCAAGCATTGTTATTCTTTCTATTATCATACTTTTCTCATAAGTTTCTACAGAATTAGTGGCAGGTTACAGCAACCGGTTATTGCCAACGTTGATCTTTCCACTTTGTTTGTATTACAAGTTTGAAACTCGACCAGGACAACGAATCGCCAAGCCAGCAGTATTTAATTCAAACTGTTGATGCAATTGGATCTTAAGATAATAATAATAGCGTTTGCGGTCGAGCTTCGCTGTTGCTCGCGACCGCTATATGCGCCAACTCTCGGATTTCGTACATGGACAACGCGATCCCTGCCGACGACCACGGAAAGCCACGAAAGCGTGGAAACAAGCCACTTAGGCAAGAACGAAGAACGGCCTCAGGCTTCAAGAGACAATGCCCGGCACTACGCTCTGCCTGCGTCTGCCTACCCACGTTCCCCTATCTTTCCGCGTTCTGCTTGTCGCCTTATTTTTGACCTCTGTTGAAGAAGGGCCACGCCTACGCGTATCCTTTGGATCTGAGCAATTATTCATTAGCCACAGCAAAGCGCGTTACAATGCCGTATGTACAGCGCGGCACGTGGCAACAATAACAAAATAATAAGAAACATAAGCAAAAGTACATTACTTTGACTTCAATAACTGAATAATAAAATGTAAAGACAGAAAATTGATAAACAACACAGTTGTCAGGAAAGTAAAACAGAATCAAATCACAGTTCGTAATAGCGTCGCCAGCATGCATCTGTGCATCCAAGAATGTAGTTACTTTCTTCCAAATAACAGTACACGACTTCCGGCTTATTTCCGGAATTAATTCTGTCTTCTTGCAAGTACATTTCGCGCGTTTTCACGCATGTTTACTATCAAATAAATGGAAGTTAAAAAAAAAACTTTGAATTTCTAACAATTGCGAGCTTTTTTAAATTAGCGATAATAAATTTAAATTTCGCGTCTATTGTCCATTGTAATTTTTTATTTTCTGAACAATCGTTTTGTTGTTCTTTCAAACAATACTTACAATTATTTAATTGCCGCTCGATAATGCTGAGTGATGCCTGCGTCATGAATTTATTATGCGGGTACACTTGCTTGACGTCACGTTGTTATCTGTGACGCCTGCATATATGTACAAATGTGTTTACACGATCGCCATTTGAATGCTCGCGTGCTCGTTGCGTATGTAAAATATTAAGCGTGAAGGCGATAGCACGTTCCAGACAGAGCGTTAGAGGCGGGACAACCCGACGTTTCCGGTTTCATCTTTAATTAAGTTTGCCACGCTCACATGTGGAATAATTGCGGTCCCTTATACAACCGGATCGGTCGAAAGCGTCGCGAATCGTCAACGAAACGATCGTTTCCTCGAACTCTTAGATATTCTGACTCATCACGCGCTATCAGTTATGTCGAACGGTAATTTATGAGCACGTATAATTAATAAGTTCTTCACGAAATGCGGAAATATCGAGTAGCATGCAACGGTGACGTGCTTTTCAAATCATTGATAAACATAAAAGATTCCAAATTTAACATGCTTTCAGTTTTATACCTGCACGGAAAAAAAGTAGTGTCAAATCAAGCTTATATACTCAAATTAACGCGTTCATTGTTTCGTATATACGCAACAATTTATAATCTTCCGAAAATTTAATAATCTTAAATTTTAACAATACTATAGTCTTATTTCCATTTTATAATAATCACTTGAAGAATACAATATTTAATTTTACTCTAAGAAAATTATAATCTTTTATTTGAAAATATGTTATTTTCTATCCAACATTTCTTTTTCCATTCAAGAAAATTATTCTTAAATAATAAGAATATTTTTTTCTTGGTTGAACTATATAAAATGACTTTATTCAAGCCAGTTTTCTTCGTTTAAAGCAATATAATCTCATTTCAAGATTTTCATGTTAAAAATAAAGATATTTTAAAAATAAGAATATCTTTTTTTTCCGTGTGCGGTTAAAACTTAATAACACTTGATATATATTATACAATAAAAATTAATATGCACAAGAATTTTTTATTTTAAAGCGCATTAAAATTTTGACATGTTAAATCGTAATTACTGCTAATTGTTCTTATTTATCCGGCAAAAATTGAATTAGAAGATTAATAATCTTCTGTTAAATTTTCACTGAAGATTTTGTTCAATTCATATCCCTTTAAATGGAGATTTCGTGTATTACGCCGCTTTCTTACCCACTAATTTATGATCGCATTAATAACACGCTGACAGCCTGCGGATCGTACGCGGTCATCGCGTCTAACGTCTAACGAGAAAACACCAAGACGCTCATGCTTGGAGCGGTCGTTCAAAAAAGGAACAGAAGCACGCGCTTTCAACAAGTTCCACTTTCATTCCGACGTGCACTTACGCGCGTGCTTTTGCTAAATATAATAGCGAAAGAAGAAATGGGCCGCGAGTCGTAACGAAACACCGAACCAAATCTGGCCGCTGGATGATACCCGCTGGTTGTATAATTGATTGTTTGAAAGCGAACTGCTCGGCTTAGCACGGCTCTAATGAATTAATGTTAACAATAAAAAAACGGATCCTTCACATGCAACGCGTTGATGCTGAGCCTCTTTGGCGAGAAAGCCGCTGAGATTCCACGCTTCGCACCTTCCAGCATCGTCGGTTCTGGGAATCTCAACTCGCGATAAAAATTAAGATCACCCATTAACCTCGAGATGCGCGTGCTAATTAAGCGTGAGATGCGTGAGACTATTACGGTCGATGTATCGCACTTGAATTTGGGAGAGAAGAGAAAGATTAGTATTGTGATGTTAGCAGAATTCAACAGTTTTAGAGTGTAAGCG